GTTATCCCAAGGGGAGTCTCTGACATGCTTCAAACCAAACACTCTGTTTCAGGTAGAATAAACAAACAGATTTATTAACTACGAACGTAAATTTTACATTATTATAAGTCAAAGCATAACAAGTCAGATTTGGTCAAATAAAATAAAAGCAAAATGCATTCTAAGCTGATCTTAACACTTTCAGTGCCCTTACAAACTTAGATGCTTCGCATCACAGGCTGGCTGGCTGCCCTTCAGCCAGGCTCTCCCCTTTGATCAGCGCTTCAGTCGCTTTGTGGTGATGTCTGTAGGTGGAGGTGGAAGAGAGAGGAAGAGCATGGCAAACATCTCTCCCTTTTATCATGTTCTTTCTTCCCTCTTGGCTTTGTGCCCCCCCCTTCAGAGTCAGGTGAGCTTTACCTCATCACAATCCCAAACTGACCAAAGGAAGGGGAGTGACTCACTAGAGAGTCCAACAGATCCTTTTGTTGCTGCCTAGTCCTTTGTTCCTGTGAGTCTGGGCTGGGTTTGTCCCATATGTTCCCTGATGAGGTGTGAACTGCCTCTCCGCTCTTGGAGAGTTTTTGCCTGGGCTTATTTTAGGCCATGAGGACCCACTTTCAACCTCATAACTATATACATGAAATTATAACCTATAACATTACTGTAACATCACTATAACAACAATGCTCAGTGCATCATGAGCCTTCTGAAGACATCCAACATGGCAAACTTTGCATTGGATACCACACAGTCATATTATAAGGATGAACATGGGGGTTTAGGGTGTTCCCACAAGGTACAGAACATCACACCCCGTGCTCCATCCCCCCCCCCCCCCCCACCGGGCATCCTGCTGGCCATCTGCCTAGCCTTCAATACCTACAAGGGGCACTTTCGAACAGTGGTGCCCATGACTCATGGCTACCCACCACTCCCCTGCAGCGTGGGCATCCTGATGTCCATCGTGTGCCTGGCCTTCAACAGCTACAACGGGCACGTCTGGTTAGTGCCCCCCTCCTCCAGCCCACTGCCCCATGGCTACCCCCCACCCTGCATCTGGACACCCTGCTGGCCATCTTCTGCCTGGTCTTCAATACCTACAAGGGGCATGTCCCATCAGTGCCGCCCCATGACCCACGGCTACTTCCCACCACCCCCAGCCTGGGCATCTTGATGTCCATCGTGTGCCTCGCCATCAAAATCTACAACGGGCATGTGTGACTAGTGCCTGCAGCCCCACGGCTACCTCCCACCCCCCGGCCTGGGCATCCTGCTTGGCATCATCTGTCTGTCCTTCTACACCTACAACAGGCACGTCCAGTGAGTGCCCCCCTCCTCCACCTTCCTGCCCCATGTTTACCCCCCACCCTCTGCCTGGGCATCAGGCTGACCATCATCTGCCTGCCCTTCAACCTCTACAATGGGCACGTCCGGTCAGTGCCTTCCACTCCCCTGCCCCACGGCTATCCTCCACCCCTCCTGTCTTGGGGCGGGATCTGGGCTGTGGCCCCCACCCTCCAGGTGATGGCTGCGTCTGCAGGGGCTGGTCTTTGGGAGCAGGAAGGGGGAGCCAGGCTTTGGGTCTGCTCCCAGGTGATGGAGGGGCTGGTCTTGGGGGTGGGGGGCGGGAGCCAGGCTGCGGGACACCCCCCAGGTGATGGCTACGTCTGGAGGGGCTGATCTCTGGGGTAGGGGGCGGGAGCTGGCCTGTGGGACACTCTCAGGTGATGGCTGTGTCTGCTCTGCAGGTACATCCAGAACTCCCAGCCCTATCTCAACAACATGACGGCCGTGGGCTGCACGCTGGCTCTGGCGGCTGTCTTCCCCCTGGGGCTGGATGGCTACCACATCAGGGCTGGGCTCTTCCCCTTTGTCTGCCAGGTGGGGCAGGGCACTAGGGCTGCGGGTGCAGCAGGGCGGGGAGGGCCCAGGACCAAGAATGGGGGGATGAGGGAAAAGAGCGATGGGGAGGAGGGAGGGCTAGAGTTGGGGTGCTGGCAGGGTGCGGGGGGGCATGGCTGAAGATGGGGGGCCCAGCAGAGGGCAGAGGGTGCTGGCATGGGGCAGGGCTGAAGACGGGCCCAGCAGGGCGCGGGGTGGGGGTGCAGGGCTGAAGACCGGCGACCCGGCAGGGGGCAGGGCTGAAGGTGCGGAGCAGAGCACAAGATGGGGGGCCCAACAGGGCTGAAGATGGAGCCCCAGCAGGAGGCAGGGCTGAAGATGGGGGCCCAGCAGGGGCAGAGGCAGGGCCGAAGATGGGCCCAGCAGGGTACGGGGGGGACAGGGCTGAAGACGGGGGGCCCAGCAGGGGCAGGGCTGAAGATGGGGGGCCCAGCAGGGGGTGCTCTCACTCTGGTCTCTGCTTCCTGGCAGGCCCGGCTCTGGCTGCTGGGGCTGGGGTTCAGCCTGGCCTATGGCAGCATGTTCACTAAGATCTGGTGGGTGCACACCGTCTTCACCAAGAAAGAGGAGAAGAAGGAGAGACGCAAGGTGAGGGTCGCTTGGGGTGCTGGGCTGCAGGGAGTGGGGTGCTATGTTGGGGGGCACTGTGGAGTAAAGGGGTCCTGGGGGTGCTGGGGGCACTGGGAGGTGCTGTGTGGAGGCACTGGGGGTGCTAGGGGTCACTAGGGTGCACTATGGGCGGTGCTAGGAGGCGCTGGGGGGAAGTGTGTGGGGTGCTAAGGGGTGCTGGGGGGGGCAGTGTGTGGGGGCACTAGGGGTCGCTGGGAGGCACTTTGGGGGGGCACTGGACTGCGGCACTAACTCTGCATGCTTGGCAGACCCTGGAGCCCTGGAAGCTGTATGCCACTGTGGGGCTGCTGGTGGGGCTGGACGTGGTCATGCTGGCCATCTGGCAAATCATCGACCCACTGCATCGCACCATCGAGGTACAGCCCTGACATGGCACTGCTGTGGGGAAGCTCGCAACCCCGGGGGCCCTGTGTCAGGGGCACACATTGGGGAAGTGATCAGGAACAGTCAGCATGGATTCACCAAGGGCAAGTCATGCCTGACTAATCTAATTGCCTACTATGACGAGATAACTGGCTCTGTGGATGAAGGGAAAGCAGTGGACATGTTATTTCTTGACTTTAGCAAAGCTTTTGACACGGTCTCCCACAGTATTCTTGCCAGCAAGTTAAAGAAGTATGGGCTGGATGAATGGACTATAAGGTGGATAGAAAGCTGGCTAGATTGTCGGGCTCAGCAGGTAGTGATCAATGGCTCCATGTCTAGTTGGCAGCCGGTATCAAGTGGAGTGCCCCAAGGGTCGGTCCTGGGGCTGGTTTTGTTCAATATCTTCATTAATTATCTGGAGGATGGTGTGGATTGCAAGTTTGCAGATGACACTAAACTGGGAGGAGTGGTAGATACGCTGGAGGGTAGGGATAGGGTACAGAGGGACCTAGACAAATTGGAGGATTGGGCCAAAAGAAATCTTATGAGGTTCAACAAGGACAACTACAGAGTCCTGCACTTAGGACAGAAGAATCCAATGCACCACTACAGACTAGGGACCAGACTAGCAGCAGTTCTGCAGAAAAGGACCTAGGGGTTACAGTGGACGAGAAGTTGGATAGGAGTCAACAGTGTGCCCTTGTTGCCAAGAAGGCCAATGGCATTTTGGGATGTATAAGTAGGGGCATAGCTAGCAGATAGAGGGACGTGATTGTTCCCCTCTATTCGACATTGGTGAGGCCTCATCTGGAGTACTGTCCAGTTTTGGGCCCCACACTACAAGAACGATGTGGAAAAATTGGAAAGATTCCAGCGGAGGGCAACAAAAATTATTAGGGGACTGGAACACATGACTTATGGGGAGAGGCTGAGGGAACTGGGGATGTTTAGTCTTCAGAAGAGAAGAATGAGGGGGGATTTGATAGCTGCTTTCAACTACCTGAAAGGGGGTTCCAAAGAGGATGGCTCTAGACTGTTCTCAGTGGTAGCAGATGACAGGACAAGGAGTAATGGTCTCAAGTTGCAGTGGGGGAGATTTAGGTTGGATATTAGGAAAAACTTTTTCACTAGGAGGATGGTGAAACACTGGAATGTGTTACCTAGGGAGGTGGTGGAATCTCCTTCCTATGAGGTTTTTCAGGTCAGGCTTGATAAAGCCCTGGCTTGGGTGATTTAATTGGGGATCGGTCCTGCTTTGAGCAGAGGTTGGACTAGAAGATCTCCTGAGGTCCCTTCCAACCCTGATATTCTATGATTCTATGAAGCTCGTGGCCCCGGGGTCCCCATGTCGGGTGCGTGCGTCAGAGAAGCTTGCGGCCCCGGGATCCCCGTGTCAGAGGCGTGTGGCGGGGAAGTTCGTGGCCCCAGGATCCCTGTGTCGGGGGCGCGTGGTGGGGAAGTTCATGACCCCCGGAATCCCCATGTCGGGGACGTGCATCGGGGAAGCTCACAGCCCCGGGTTCCCCGTGTTGGGAGCGCATGGTGGGGAAGCTCGCAACCCTGGGGGCCCTGACTGGGGGCTCTGACCTGCCCCCCAGCGTTCATCCCTCTGCCATCCATTGCTGTAGGAATTCACCAAAGAGGAACCGAAAACTGACATTGACGTCTCGATCCTGCCCCAGCTGGAGCACTGCAGCTCCACCAAGATGAACACCTGGCTGGGTAAGCAGGGGCACTGGGCACAGGCAGTGGGGGGCAGGGGGATGGGCAATATCTGTGGGGAGGGTTGCTGACTTGGTGGGGGGGAGGGGCCCAGATTCAGGTAGGGGATAGGCAGTGTTTGGGGGAGAGGGGCCCTGGCTCGGTGGCGAGGGAAGTGTCTGCGGGGAGTGATCCTGGGATAGTCAACCCACAGCTGCCTGCCCCCTGGGGCGGGGGCCACTTTTGTCCTGTCCTCTCCCACCCACATCCCTCCCTTTGCAGGTCTCCCTCACACCCCCCCAGTTTCTCGCGTTCCCATCCCGTCTCCAGCCCCCCAACAGGTCTGACCCATCCCCTGTGCCCCACGCAGGGATTTTCTATGGGTTCAAGGGACTGCTGCTGCTGCTGGGCATCTTCCTGGCCTACGAGACCAAGAGCGTCTCCACCGAGAAGATAAATGACCACCGGGCCGTGGGCATGGCCATCTACAACGTGGCGGTGAGTGAGTGCGCCCCGCTGTGACCCACTGCCCCCCAAACTTCCCCCCCACCTCACCATCACAGCGGTGAGTGGGTGCGCCCCGCTGTGACCCACTGCCCCCCCAAGCCTCCCCCACCTCACCATCACGGCGGTGTAAAGGAGTGCTGGGGGCTCCCTGCTGTACTGCCCCCCAAACTCCCCCCCCCCAAACCTCACCATCACAGCGGTGAGTGAGTGCACCTCGCTGTACTGCCCCCCCCAAGTTCCCCCCCCCCCCAACCTCACCATCACGGCGGTGAGTGAGGGTGCCCTGCTGTGATCCACTGCCCCCCCAAACTCCCCCCCACCAACCTCACCATCACGGCGGTGAGTGAGTGCGCCCCGCTGTACTGCCCCCCAAACTTCCCCCCCCAAACCTCACCATCATGGTGGTGAGTGAGGGTGCCCCACTGTGACCCACTGCCCCCCAAACTTCCCCCCCCAACCTCACCATCATGGCGGTGAGTGAGTGCGCCCGCTGTACTGCCCCCCAAACTTCCCCCCCAAAACCTCACCATCACGGTGGTGAGTGAGGGTGCCCCGCTGTGACCCACTGCCCCCCAAACTTCCCCCTCTGAACCTCACCATCATGGCGGTGAGTGTGCCCCACTATGCCCCACTGCCCCCCAAACTTCCCCCCCACCTCACCATCACGGCAGTGAGTGCGCCCCGCTGTACTGCCCCGCAAACTTCCCCCCAAAAAACCTTACCATCACGGTGGTGAGTGAGTGTGCCCCGCTATGACACAGTGCCCCCCAAACTTCCCCCCCACCTCACCATCATGGCAGTGAGTGCGCCCCGCTGTACTGCCCCGCAAACTTCCCCCCAAAAACCTTATAATCACGGCGGTGAGTGAGTGCGCCCCACTGAGACACACTTCCCCCCAAACCTCCCCACTGTCACAGAGTCACCGGGCCAGTGCTCTGGAACTATTCCATACGAAGCCAGTCAGGACTCTGGGGAGCCTCCTCTCTCTGAGCATCCTGTCTCCAGGGTAAGAAGCTTACACAGCTTTGACCTTCCTGAGTCTGACCTCGGAGCATTCAGCATCCCCTGCCCCACCGTACGCTTCCCACAGCGAGTCTGCACGGTCAGGGCTCCTGGGGAAGCCAGAGGGTCCTGCACCCCAACTCCTCAGTCAGACGTGACTCTCAGCCAGATGGTAAAACAGAAGGTTTATTAGTCGACAGGTACACAGCATAGGACAGAACTTGTGAGCACAGAAATCAGTGACTTTCAGCCAAGTCCATCTTGGGGAGTCCTGGGCCAGAAGCCCTGGACTCCCCCTCTTCCAGTCCCCCCAAGCAGACTGTAAGCTTCCAGCCACCTGACCTCTGACACCCCACCCCGCTCTTTGTTTCACTTCCCGGGCAGTCACCTGGTTGTCACCTGGTTGCATCCCCCTCCTGCGTCTCAGGTTACAAAGGGCACCTGTCATAACGTATGTGCAGGCAGCTGGAGCAGCTTCACCCGTCCTAGAGGTCTAAGCCAAATTCACACACCCCTATTCCCACAACAAAGGTATTGGTGCAGCACACAGGGAAACTGAGGCACACACAGTATTCATGCAAAACAGTAAAACTCACATAGGCTCAACAGTAAGACACATACAACATAACAAGGGAAAATCCCCACTTTGTCACACCCATTGCCCCCAACCTCCGACCGCCCCCTCAGACCTCCCCACCACGGCACTGAGTGCATCCCGCTCTGACCCACCACCCCCCACAAACCTTCCCACTACGGTGGTGAGTATATACCCCATGGTGACCCACTGCCCCCCCAAACTTCCCCACCATGGCGGTGATTGCACTCCCCTGTGACCCACTGCCCGCCAAGCCTCCCCACCATGGCAGTGAGTGAGTGCGCCCTGCTGTGACCCACTGCCCCTCCAAACCTCCTCACTGCCCCTCAACCTCCACACCACAACGGTGAGTGAGTGCACCCCGCCGTGACCCACTGCACACCAGCCCTCTAGCGCACCCCCAAACGTCCCCACTGTGCTGTGGCTATGGCCATTTACAACATGGCAGTGAGTGTGCTCCACTGCACCCCAACGCCTGACTGTACCCCACTGTGGCCCCCAAGCACCCCTTTGGGCTATGACAGTGCACGTGCATCCAGTATCCCCACATTGTGCCACAGTCATGTGAGGTGTGGGGGGGGAGTGGCTACATGGACCAGGTTTGGGGTGTTGGGGCAGGTCTCTCTGTCTCCCCCTCTCCGCACAGTGACGCCGCTGGCTCCGGCTGTGCTGCAGGTGCTGTGTCTGATCACCGCCCCCGTCACCATGATCCTGAACAGCCAGCAGGATGCCGCCTTTGCCTTTGCCTCACTGGCTGTCGTCTTCTCCTCCTACATCACCCTGGTGGTACTCTTCGTGCCCAAGGTAGAACCCCCCATCCCCGCACCCACCTGCACGGACAGGGGTCAGGATCTCCGCATTGGGAAAGTGCTGGGCTGTTCTCTCCCTGTCTGATTGTTGGTGCAGGGAGCACGGGGGGGCTCAGAATCTTTGGTCTGGAGTTAGCATTGTGATGTTGTCTCTGACACTGAGGGGAGGGAGATGGAGGTCTGTGCTGTGGGTATAGCATTGGGGTGTTTTCTATGACTCAGTCAGTTGAGGGGGTAACTGGAGGTGTGGGGTCTCAGTGCCAGGTGCACTACTGGCTTGTTGGTTCTTGTCTGATAGCAGAGTGGGAGTGGGTAGTTGGGTTTTCAGGATATTTTCTGGGTATAGCATTGAGGTGATTGTCTCTGACAGTCAGGGGGCAGGTGTAGTGTTGGGGTATTGTATCTGCGTGTCAGCCAGGGGATATAGTTGGGAGTCAGCACTTTGGGTGTAGTATTATTTCTGTCAGTTAGGGGGTAGTTGGGAGTCAGTGATCCAGGTGTAGTCTTGTCTCAAACAGTTGGTGGGGGGTAGTTGGGAGTCAGTGGTCCGGGTGTAGTCATGTCTCTGACAGTCAGCAGGGGGGAGTTGGGAGTCACTGCTCTGGGTGTAGTCTTGTCTCCGACCGTCAGCGGGGGTGGAGGGGTTGGGAGTCAGTGCTCCAGGTGTAGTCTTGTCTCTGGCAGTTGGCGGGGTGGTGGGTGGGAGTCAGTGCTCTTGGTGTACTGTTGTCCCTGATAGTCACTGGGGGCACTTGTTGCAGATGCGACGTCTCATCACCAGGGGCGAGTGGCAGTCGGAGCAGCAGGACACCATGAAAACGGGCTCATCCACCAACAACAATGAGGAGGAGAAATCCCGGCTGCTGGAGAAGGAGAACAGGGAGCTGGAGAAGATCATTGCGGAGGTGAGGCAGACATGCCTCCATCCCACGTCTTTGGGGGGCAGCTGGGACCTGATGGAGTGCTCCCATACTGTGATTATGGGGTGCAGGGTATAAAGTGGGAGTGAGACAGTAGAACCCTACACTGGTGGCGTCCTCTCCTCCACCTCCCTCTGAAGCTGGGGACTTAGGGGGGTGGGAGGGAAGGGGGCTCATCACCCACTCGGGGGTGGGGGAGGCGTTACACTCATTCACTCCTTCCCCTTCTTTCTGGCAGAAGGAGGAGCGTGTCTCCGAGCTCCGCCAGCAGCTCCAGGACCGGCAACAGCTGCGCTCCCGGCGCCGCCCCTCCAACCCCTCCTCGCGGGACGGGTGTGCCGCCGACAACCACTTCACCAATGCGGCCGGGCCCATGCCCACCCTCTACCAGCCTAGCCTGCCCCTGGTGCGCTGCCTTGTCTCCGAGCAGGCTGACAAGCTGGGCCGCAGCAACTGCGACGGAAGCCGCGTCCACCTGCTCTACAAGTGACCACCGTGGGGGCGGGGCCTGAGAAGAGGGTGGGGCCCGGGAAGGGGTGGGGTGGAGCTAAATAAGGTCTCTTTTTCCCCCCAATCACATCTCTTAGCTTTGTAAAATCTCTCTGTATCCATCCATCTTCCCTTCTCCCATCCAAGCTCTGAGTGCCAATTGACATCCAGGTGCAGAGTAAAATGTGCACCTTGCCTGATCTATCCTGAGTGTCTCTAGCTGGAGCAGTGTCAGGCGGGAGGGGGCAGCTGCTTGTAACCAAGGTGATGTGGGGAGGGCAGAGTGAATCGAGAAGGGAAAGTTACCCCGTGAGCATGCCAGCCAGGCGTGCAGTCTCACTGTAGCACAGAGTCAGACCTGGTGGCCCCCAACGTACAGTCATGCACAGACGGATCTAGTTACTGGGACATACAATCAAGGTGTAGTGCAAAACTGGATTTAGTTATTCATATATACAGTATTATTGTAGCCTAGAACCAGGTTTGGGTACATGTAAGTACAATCAGACTGTAACACACAGCCAGATCTGGTGACTTGTATGTACGATCAAACTGTTGTGCACAGGTGAGTCTGATTACTGTAATGTACTGTCAGACTGTAGTGTAAAACTAGGTCTGGTTTACTTGTAAGTACAGTCAGACTGTAGTGCACAGCTGGGTCTGGTACAGTTGGACTGTAGTACAAAACCAGACCCGGTTACTTGTATGTTTAAACTAGTGAACAGCTGGGGCTGGTTCTGTGTGAGCGCAGTCTGACTGTAGCACACAACCAGATCTGGTTGCTTGTATGTACAATCAGACTGTAGCACACAACTGGGTCTGGTTACTTGTCTGTACTATCAAAATGTAATGCACAGTCGGGTCTGGTTACTGTAATGTACTGTCAGACTGTAGTGTACAACCGGGTCTGGTTTCTCAGTTGCACTTTAGTGAACAACTGGATCTGGTTACTATTGGGTGCAGTTGTGTTGTTTATGTGCAAAATCCATCTGCTTCCTTTTGCGTACATTGGGCCTGGAGGTCACAGCGGCTCCTGGAGGCCCCGCAGTCAGATCACAGTGTAACACCAGTTCTAGCAACTCCCAGATACAGTAGGAGCATCATGCATAGAACGAGCTAGTGACTTTCATGTACCGACAGCCTGTATAGCACAATCAGCAGTGGATGTTGTCATCTGGCGGCGTACCGGCTGTAGGGGATGACCAGCCCTGGTTACCCATAAGAATGGCCATGCAGACCTGGATATCTTGTGCACAGGGTCAGGTCAGGTTACTCTGGCTACACCCAACTGACTGGAAGTGGGGATACAGCTGCCTGAGGCAGGGTCACACTCTCCCAAAGATGGACGGGGCTTTCGCAGGGGGATGGGATTAACCTTATCTGAGCCCTGCTCTGACCAGGCGGGTCTGGGTGGAGAGCCCCGCTGGGGGCCAGTCTGCAATCTGACTGTAGCGTACAGCCATTTCCCCAGTCACAGCCGCCCCTGAGGGTCTCTTCCTGCCTGGATAGACGCGGCCTCAGCCATGTGATTTCACCGGGGGCGGTGGGGGACGGGGAGTGCTCCAGCTGGCTACAATGGACCCTGGAGGCCCAGAGCCGAGAGTCTGGACCCAGGGTGGTCCCCATGGCTCTCCTGACAGCTCCTGTCTGAGCTGGGCCCAGAGCTGCTGGAATGGGGGCCGGGGGAGGTTCCCTGGCTAGAACCCATCAGTGTTCAGACTGCCCCCATCTGAGTCCCAGGGACAGGCACCATGAGAATGGCAGGAGAGAGCAGCCCCACACGGGGAGTGAGTGTACCAGGGAGCACTGGTGTTTGTAAGACACAGCACCGGGCAGCTGCTCTGCGGGGGCAGCATAATGTGAGAACATGCAGCATACACAGCACAACACACGCATGGGTCACAACATGCAGGACAGCACAGTGTGTGCACAGCCCCATGTGAGCACACGCAGCACCGCACGGACCCACAGCACAGTGTGAGCACATGCATGAACATGCATGAACGCAGCATGCAGAACAGAGCCCCACACGTGCACACACAGCGTACACACACACACACACACATCAGCACCTGGTACCCACATCCACATACCACTCGGAGATCAGTGTATGCAATGTATGTACAGCACCACATGTGCACACAGGGCACAATGTGCGCATACAGCAGAACACGCACCCACACACCTGCGTGTGCAAACAGGCTGAGCTCAGCGGGCCTGCTGCAGGGGCAGGGCTGGGCAGGATGGGCTGTCCTATCCCTAGGTCTCTCCCTGCAGTTTTTGGGAGGGGGTCCCCCCCCGGCCAGGGCCCAGGTGGGCACATGGGGGAGGGTTGCCCCAAGACGCAGTCAGGCCAGGGCCTCCCCAGCCTTGTCTGACACTGTTGTGTGACTGGGATGGGGGGAGCTGCTGGGAGGGGAAGGAGGGTCCCCAGAGCATGGGCCGGTGGGGGTCTCTGGCCTGCCATGTGCTGGAGGATCAGACTCAATGAGCATGGCGGTTCATTCTGGCCTTAAAGTCTATGAGAGAGCGAGCCCCCCCAGCCCCAAAGACATCCTATACCTGTCCCCCCCAGCTCCCTGGAGGCAGACTGCTCCCAACAACAGTGACCTTCCCAGCCCATGAGACAGGCCCCCCACCCCAGCCCATGAGACAGTGAGCCCCATAAAGATAACCCCCCACACAGCCCTGTGCTCAGGGTATGGGGGCTGGCTGAGCAACTGCCAGCACCAGGGAAAGAACCCAGGACTCCTGGTCCCCAACCCCCCCCCCCCAACCCACTGGGACCCCTGATTGCCCCAGGGGGCATTCCACTCCCCCCACACCCCAACACAGCCCTCCAGGGCTCCCAGCTGCCAGGAATCTGCCCAGCCTGGGACTTCTCAGCCCTGGCTGCAATGCTCTGCCCATGAGGAAGTAGAGCTCCAGGGTGCGCTTAGAGCGAATGCAGGACTCCTGGGTCCTGGCTCTGGGAGGGCCATGGGGTCTAGTGGTTAGAGCATGGGGGGTCTGGGAGCCAGGACTCCTGGCTGGGTGCAGACTGGCACTCCAGTGGCTGGGCCCCTCCTCTTCCAGCGGAGGCCAGTTGTTGGTGACCGGACAGGTGAGGGTGGAGGAGTGTGCAGGCCCCAGCACCCAGGAAACATCTGCAAGCAGCAAACCTTGTAGTGCTGGGCCCCTGGGGCAAAGGAGAGAAAGTGCCATTAACCCTCCCTGCACTAGGAGCGGCGGTGGGGGAGGAAATTGAGCACAAGCTGTTCCCAGCACACAGCCCCCAGGCATCTGCTCTAACCACTAGGCCCCAGTCCCCTCCCAGAGCCAGGCTAGAACCTAGGAGTCCTGCCTCCCAGCCCCCACCTCCCCTCGCCCCACGTAGGGTCAAGTCTTGAGCCCTTTTTGGCTTTCCCCTGTTGCTGCCACAGACCCTTCAGAGCCTTCACCCATGAAAAATAAAATCATTTAATGAAGGGGGGAGGGGAGAAACAGGGGGAAGCTGGTGTTGGGGGGAGGGGTCCCTCATTGATTTCTTTTAGCAGCAAATCAGGGCCTTTGACCCCCCTCCTCGATGGACTCGATCTAGGGCACAGTCTCCTGGGGGCTCAAAGCTTCTGCCCCCCTCCCCCCCCAGCCACAGCCCCAAAACCTGGGGGAGAGGGTAGGAAGTCTGGAGGTGTCAGCTGAAAGAAGCAGTAGGGGGTGCCCCTGTGACAGTATCCGCTTGTGGCCCAGCCTCCACCTCCTAGCTGGGAGTTCAGGGCTCACGGGGGGCTAGGCCCCATGTCAGTTCCTGGGTGGGTTCAGTGTTGGGGGGCCCAGGCCCCTCCATCTCTTCCTTCTGATACCATGCAATGGAGGCTCCATCTCTCCAGCCAGCCCCGCAGCCCTGTCCCTGGGGATCTGTGCAGGCAGCCCTCTGTCACTGGGCAGAGGTGGCGGCACAGCGGTGCCATTGGGCCAAGGCACCTGCCAGGTAGTGTTGCCCAGCCCCACACCTGGCCCCAGCCCGTGGGTCGTCGGCAGCAGGAAGAAGATGTAGACAGCGGAAATCACCAGCCCCACAGTGACAGTTACAGCCACAGCCACAGCCACAGCAAAGGGCCAGCTGGAGCAGCCCATCCCCCGCAGCCCCAGGCCCACGCCCACGCCCCGCGGTGCCGGCCGCCCCACGTCCACACTCAGGCTGACCGTGCTGAGGGCAGGGCCCGGCTTGGGTAGCGCCAGCCCCCGGCCCTTCCGGTTCCCCCAGCCCGGCACATACAGCAGCCCGCGGCGCCGGCTGAAGCGCACGGAGCTGCAGGGGGCGGCGGGCGCCAGGGGCAGCCGGTCCAGCAGGTCCCGGCAGGTGGGCAGGCCAGGCAGGCCCTTGCGGGTGGGGAGGCAGGTCAGCTCCCGGCACACGGGGCAGCTGATGGCGTTGACCTGCTCCGAGGAGACGTTGATACGCGCCAGGCACTCGAGGCAGAAGGTGTGCCCGCAGCCCAGCACCTTGGGCACCTTGAACAACCGGTCGTAGGGCGAGAAGCAGATCACGCAGTCCATGGAGGCCTCGTCTTCATCCTCCTCCTCCTCAGCACCCCAGGGGCCCCCCTCTGCCAGCTCAGCGCCCCGGGGCCTCCCCTGCCCTACTTCCCCTGGTGCTGCCATGCCAAGGTTTGATTCCCCTGGCCAGTAAGGGCAGAGGTACAGCGAGTGAGGTCCCTCAGGCCAAGGTGGTGCCAGCCAGCAGACACAGTCCGGCCTGGCCCCTGTTGACGTCTCTGGGGAGGGAAGAGAGAAAGGACAATATTTACCCAGTGGAGATAACGCGCCCCATGGCCTGGCCAAGTTGGTCGCCGCCCCCCCACACGCCCAATTCCTCAGGGGTAGACTATCGACCGCTCCCCGGCTAATCTGGAGTCACCCCGATACGGCTCCACCTGGGGCTCGGGCACAGCACAGAGCTGCCAGACACTCCCAGCTAGCGGGGGGGGGGAGGAGGAAAAGGGAGGCATCCAGGGGACGCACACCCCAAAGCACATCACTGCCAGCCCCCCAGCCTTGCCAGTGCCCTCACTTCCAAGACACAGCCCCTGCTAGCCCAGGCCTGGGCTCCCCCGAACAGCTCTGCTGGTGCCCCTCAGTCCCCTCTATCCTCCCCCAGGCTCCCCCAAGCCTTGCCGTTGCCCCTCACTCCTGACCCACATCCCCATGCTAACCCAGGCCTGGGCTCCCCCCCAGCTCTGCTGGTGCCCCTCAATCTTGCCCCCACTGCTATTCCAGCCCTGGGCTCCCCCAAACAGCTCTGCCAGTGCCCCTCAACCCCCCCCCCCACCCATTCTACCCCTGCACTCCCCCCAGCCCTGCTAGTGCCCCTCACTCCCAACCCACAGCCCCCTGCTACCCCAGGCTTGGGTTCCTCCCAGATCAGGCAGTGCCCCTTTCCTCTTCCGCCCCCCACTATCCTACCCCTGGGCTCCACCCAGCCCTGCCAGTGCCCCTCACTCCCAACCCACAGCCCCCTGCTATCCCAGCCCTGCCCCCCCCCCTCCAGCTCTGCTGATGCCCCTCAGTCCTGCCCCCACTGCTATTACAGCCCTGGGCTGTACATACATACATACAGCTCTGCCGGTGCCCCCCCCAATCCTGAGCCCCAGCCCATGGAAGCTTAGCTCTGGGCTCAGTCCCAATAGAGTCAGGCTCACCTGATCCAGGCTTGGGTGCAGCCGGGATGTTACTGCAGCAGGTGTACTGGGGTTGCTCCTCCTGGTGCTGCTGGCCCCAGCAGCTCCCAGGTTCTGGAATCTGCCCCCTGCAGGGAGCATTTCCCCTAGTGGTGCCCGCCCTGCCGCCCCAGCCCGCCCAGTTCTTGTGGGGCTGGGTGCGGCCAGGGTGAGGAGCCGGTGCCACCGCATTCCCTTCCTGTGGCTACTGGCCAGGAATGTGACCAGCAGCTGGCTCTGCCAGGGTTAACCCTTCACCCCCCAGCCAGAGAGCCCCCCTGCTCAGCCCCCAACCCCGCTACCTGCAACAGAGGGCCTCCTGCTGAGTTCCCCACTACTCCCTGCAGCAAAGCACTCCCTCCCCTACAACACAGCACCCCTGCTGAGCACGCCCACCCCAGTTCACTACAGCCCATTGCCCCCTGCCGCTCCCCACCCCACTTCATAGAGACCAGCACCACCTGCTGAACCCCTGCCCTGCTCCCTGAAGAACAGCACCCCCGGACTGCTCCCTTCACTTCAGTGCCGTTCCATGCCCCCTAATGTATCCTGCCCCCACAGAACAGCACCCCCTTGTGCCATACTGGGGGCTTAGGCCCAGCCCTAGAAAGTGAATCCAACACATGGAGTGTTCCAGTCTAAACCCAACTCTTTGGGCAGCACAGCAGAGAAAGCCATAGGCCCCACACATGAGCTGAGAGGGCATCTGCTACGCCCCAGGCTAGCTCCTTCAGTAGGGGTCTAGGCAGAGATGTGTACAGCGGGAAAAGGAGGGGTGTGCATGCGGCTGGTACTCTCCCAGCCATGCCCCAGAGCATAGCTGTGCAGCAGGCCTGCTCTGGGCCCAGACCCAAGCTGTGGCGCCTGGACAAAAAGCAAGTGCTAAGAAGCAGGGTCTAGATACCATGGGGCTGGAGAGGTTGGCTGGGGAAGCTGGCAGTGCAGGGGAGGGCAGACACTCAGACCCTATGGGGGGGATGAGCAGGCAGGCATCCAGGGGTCAGATCTACTGCCCACACCCTGTAATGAGTTTGAGGCTCCCTACTCTGCTCCAACAGGCCTAGATCCTGCACCAAGGCCCAGCCCAGCAAACCTGCTCTGAATCCTGCACCTTGTGCCAGCCAGCTCTGGCGAGCTCAGAACTGGGGCCTCTGGCCCAGCCCACCTGGTCTAACCAGCCCAGCCAGCTTTGCCTTGGGGAACTGGCTTCCTCTGTCACACAAAACAACCCTCTCCCCGACCATTCCCTGCGGCCTAGGGCCAATTAGCCCTTCCCCACCCCAATCACCATGGGCCACCTCCCTGCTCTGTGACCACATGCTCTGGGCCCCTGGGAACAGAGATCAGCATCCAGCCTCGACCAAAGGACAGCCAGGGAAGTTTTGCTGGATCCATGCAGGAAGCTGAGAGCTAGGGCTGCCCCTATTGTAGATGGAGGTGACTCAGTTTCAAGAGGGGGCCCTGCTCTTCCTCCATCCCCAAGAAAAGCTGCTGGAGCATGAGCAGGGCAAGCCCCTGCAGCAGCTCTCAGCCCATCCATCCCTTGTGGGCCCCCAGGGGCAACTGCTATTAGGGGATACATGGGGCAGAGCCAGGCCTGCAAGCAGCTGTCCCCACCCCCAAGATGGAGCAGGCTCTACTGCCCTGCCTCACTATGATCCCTGCAGTGCTCTCTGGGCTCAGGCAGTGGTGAGCAGGCCCCCCTCTCACATCCATCCCACAGCTGGAGCCAGCTGCGGTCCACCGCCAACCCCAAGCCCACTCTGGGGAAACCCACTGCCATCCACACCTCTCCAGGCAAGCGAGGCCACCTGCCCCCCACAACCCTGTCCCCAGCCAGGGCAAAAGAGCAGGCCGCAGGAGAGGGTGGGAGAAGGTCATGGAAGGGCAGCATCAAGCAGGGCTCACTCCCTCCTCCTGCAGGTGGGGGCCAGCAGCTCAGAGAGAACACACAGGGGGGCAAGTGGAATCACAGAGTTTATTGGGGCAGTTTCCACAGCTTTAACGGTTCGACTTGGCCACACGCTCCAGCTCATCCTTCTTCTTGATAGCGTAGGAGTTGGAGGAACCCTGGGAGGGGGAAAAATGGTGAGATTCCCCTCCATGGTGGAGCCACCCCCACAGCCTAAGACCCAGCTCAGCACCCCCTAGGGTACATGGGCACCCCCCAGTGGTGACAGCACTGCACTGTAGAGGGACAATTGTAGGGCAGGGAGCTGCCAGCAGGGCTCAAAGGGTCATACTAATTGCCTGGGGCAGGTGAGGAAAGGGGGCCATTGGAGACCCTGGGGCAGGAGCAGTCCTGCAGCCCTTCACTGCTAGGGACACACATGGACTCAAAGCCAGGGGGGCAGCTGGAGAAATCTCCCCTCCTTCGGGTGTAGTTATCCACACAGCCCCCAGGAGGCACAGTCACCCCCCCCGGCGGTGACCCAGGCTAGCAACACACCAGAGAGGAAGCAGCTACATGGTACAGAAGCCCTTTGACACCAGTCTGTGTCAACACGAGTGGCTGCACTGGTGGGACCATCCCTGTGCACAGCCAGCCCCTAAGCGACAAAGGGCTGAGCAGGCCACGGGAAGCAGGGGCTGAGCTGAGCCAGGCCTCAGACTCCAAACAGCACGAATCTGGGCAGGGTGCTGTCTGGGAGCCCAGCGCTTGGCCACCCGCTCAGAGCAGAGGATGAGGGCATCTCCCAGCGCAATGGGACAAGCCTGTCCCCAGTTCTCACCTTGGCAGCGTTGATGAGTTCATCGGCCAGGCACTCGGCAATGGTCTTGATGTTGCGGAAGGCAGCCTCGCGGGCCCCAGTGCACAGCAGCCAGATAGCCTGGGGGGGGGAGAGGGAGGGGCAGAAAGGGGTTACCAGGTGCCCAGAGCCAGTGGGCACAGTGCCCAGCCCATACACACTGTGGAGTGGGCACCAGGCACAGCCACATGGGGAGGGGAGTGACGCTCAGGGACGGAGGAGCACACTGTGCGCACATGCATGGCCAGGGAGGGGTGTACCTGGTTGACGCGGCGCAGCGGGGACACATCCACGGCCTGTCTTCGGACAGTGCCGGCACGGCCAATGCGGGTTGAGTCCTCCCTGGGCCCGCTGTTGATGATGGCGTTGACCAGGACCTGCAGGGGGTTCTGCACAGAGAGTTGCATGGACAGGTCAGCTAGGACAGAGCCCCACCCCCAAACCCTCCCTCCCACACCCCTGCCTGGCCAGGACAGCCAGCACCCCGACCCCGGACCACCAGCAGCCCACCTCCCCGGTGAGCAGGTGGATGATCTCGAAGGCGTGCTTGACGATGCGCACAGTCATGAGCTTCTTGCCGTTGTTGCGGCCGTGCATCATCATGGAGTTGGTGAGGCGCTCCACAATGGGGCACTGGGCCTTGCGGAAGCGCTTGGCTGCGTAGCGCCCGGCGCTGTGGGGCAGGTACTTGGCGTACTTCTCCTTCACCGCAATGTAGTCCTGGGCCGGGGAGAGAGACTGGTTCATGGGCAGTCGGGGAGGGGGAACACACACACACACACACACCCCCCATGCTGACAGGGACAGCCACAGTCTGAGAGCAATGGGGTGCCAGACCCAGGCATCCTACCCCGCCCACTACAAGGGTGCACAGAAGGCGTGAGCTGTGAGGAGAGGTGAGGGACCTAGATACCCCCCCACCCATCCCCCTGACAGGGTACAGATAGGGTGTGAGCTGTTCACTCCCTGCAGCCCCTCCCGTTGCTCACAGAGGCCATGAGTTATAGGGGGACCCAGGCATCCTGCCTTACTCCCTGCAGCACCTCCTACTGCATATAGAGAGCGTGAGGTGTGTGTGTGGGGAACCCAGGCACCACTCGGGCTCCCCAAACCTGAAGAGAGATGTCATTGATCTGAACATCGTCCGTGCTCCATTTCCCAAAGAGCTTGATGTCGGGGGTCTCCGCCACAGCGGGCACAGTCTCCCACTCGGTCATTCTGGGGAGGGGAGAACGGAGGGTCAGGCAATGCAGCACCCACATGTCCCACACTCAACCCCCCCCCACATATGGGGCACCCCAATGCCATGGCCCATCCCTATAGGGCAGACCCCCCCAAACTCCACAGACCCCTGGCAGAGCAACCCCCTGGACCTCATCAGCAGCCCCCCTCAATATCCCCACATTGGTGTGCAATCCCCACTGACACCCATGGGACAGCCCCCTCCCCAAGTCAAGGAATATCAGGGTTGGAAGGGACCTCAGGAGGTCATCTAGTCCAACCCCCTGCTCAAAGCAGGACCAATCCCCAAATAAATCATCCCAGCCAGGGCTTTGTCAAGCCTGACCTTAAAAACCTCTAAGGATGGAGGTTCCACCATCTCCCTAGGTAACGCATTCCAGTGTTTCACCACCCTCCTGAAAAAAGTGTTTCCTAATATCCAACCTAAACCTCCCCCACTGCAACTTGAGACTATTGTTCCTCGTTCTGTCATCTGCCACCACTGAGAACAGTCTAGAGCCATCCTCTTTGGAACCCCCTTTCAGGTAGTTGAAAGCAGCTATCAAATCCCCCCTCATTCTTCTCTTCTGCAGACTAAATAATCCCCCTTCCCTCAGCTTCTCCTCATAAATCATGTGCTCATAAGTCATGTGCTCCAGCCCCCTAATCATTTTTGTTGCCCTCCCCTGGACTCTCTCTAATTTGTCCACATCCTTCTTGTACTGTGGGGCCCAAAGCTGGACGCAGTACTCCAGATGAGGCCTCACCAATGCCAAACAGAGGGGAACGATCAAGTCCCTTGATCTGCTGGCAATGCCCCTACTTATACAGCCCCCCTGTGGTGGGGGACTGCGCAAAATGACTCCCAAGGAGGAATCTCTAGGATAGCTGCTGTGGGGAGCGCACTGCTCGGGGTGCACAGAGCCTGTGCGGCGCAACAACCACCTGCTGCCTCTGGCTGCTGCCACCTGGGGCGCGTCAGTGCGGTGCCCACTCGGCTCACTGCGCCCGTCGGGGGAGAACAGGTGGTGTCTGCACGGCAGGAATGGGACCCGGCACGCGTGGGGAATCAAGCCCCATGGGGAGGAGGCTACACCTGGAAACATCTCCTGTGGTTCCGTTCCTCCCGTCGCGGGCCCCTGCCCCCCCGGGGTTTTATCCTCCCGCCCCCAAGCGCGGTCCCGAGGTTCCAACGTCCCCGCATGGCTCCACGCGCCGCCTTGGGATTCCATCACCCCACGCGCGTGGCCCTCCCGCCCCTAGGGTTC